AAAGAAGCGCCTTATTAGGGTGGCAGCGACGCATTGTTAATGCAAGACAAACCGCCAGTGCAATGAAAGGGTCGGTTTAACGGATTGTAGAATTATTTGAATGGGAGAAACCCTAAATAGAGGAAAAAGCAAAGGAAAAACGTAGCGATGGCACAAAAAAGGCAAAAGGCCGTTGAAGAGAGTAGCCTGCAAACTAGTAAAATGCGGATGAAGCGAAATGGAGAATTACCTGCGAAGTGTTGTAGTGCCCGTCCAAAAATTTCAGTTTGTCAACGTAACGCTCACGAATAATTTTTCCTAACTTGACATGTTGCTCCATCCCGCGCTGAAAATCGAATACCAGGAATTTTGATGGAATACTGATGAAATGGAATATTGACGATATTGCTTTCACCTTACTTTCAGGGGCCGAAAAAATACCAAAAAATCAAAAGTTAAGACCCCCTCCGTATTCGCTCCTTGTGAAAGGCGTAGGCGCTCGGAAAGTGGCACGAGTGGCAGCAAATGTTAACAACAACCACTTGTTAGCAAGCCTGTTGACAGTACTTCCTAAGACCGATAAAATAATTGGCCAACGCACGAGTTGCCCGTGCGAAGATGCGTTTTTTGCATAGCTCCCTTCAGATTTTTGTCGTTAACGGCACCGGTTTTTCTGGAGATGCTTCTAGCTAAAAGAATTTCAGACTGGCCGCCAGGACTGTCAGGAAACATCCCTTCAAAATTCCAGTCTTCTAGCTTCTTGCGTCCCCGAGTTAGCAATTTACCCGGAAGAAACCTTCACAGGCCCGTACGTAGGTACCAAACTTACCCGCGGGCAGGGTTTGAACTCGTTAATACCTGCTTGGACGGGGAACATTGCCCTAAGATTTCAGCGTTCTAGTTTCACTGATCCCCGAGTTATGAACTTACCCCAAAAAAATTTTAATGGACCCGCGCCTACCCGGGGGATGGGTTTCAGTGCATTAATACATAGCTGGACGGGGAACATTCCCCTAAGATTTCAGCTTTCTAGCTTCTCAAGTCCCTGAGTTATGAACTAACCTGAAAAAAATTTTGGCGGGCCCGTACGCCGGTACCACGCTTACCTGGATGGATTTGTGTGCATTAATACCTAGTTGGACGGGGAACATCCTTTTAGGATTTCAGCGTTCTAGCTTCCCAAATCCCTGAATTATGAACTTACCCGAAAAAAATTTTGGCGGGCTCGCACGCTGGTACCACGATTACCGGGTGGATGAGTTTCAGCGCTTTAACACCTAATTGGGCGGAGAACGTCCTCCTATCAGCGTTCTAGCTTCTCAGATCCTCGAATTATGAACTTCCCCTATAAAAACTTTGGCGGGCCCGTACGCGGGTACCACGCGGGTGTTGGCGCCCATATTGGGGGTTG